GAAATAAGATTTCCAAGACTTGGAATAGCTGCATCAATTTTCCATTAAAAGCTTCACAATTTAACTAATCTCATGTAGTAATAACCTAATTAGTGAAAGTAAAAAAAATAATAACATTCATTAATCTATTATCTTTTCATATAAATTATATAATGAAATTCATTTGCATCCATCAGAAAGCAGGTTATAAATGAGCCTGATAATGTGTTAACACACTGAGAAACCCAATTTAACCTGTAAGCCCATACTTCTTCTCTGCAATTGCTCAAAATCCATTCACTAAATTGTCCCGTCTACATTCATTTCTTACTGATGAGAAATATAAGCCAGCAGGGGGAAAGCATAACTAGAGGACAAAGGGGAGAAAGAAGGAATACCTAATCACGTTGCCTGCTTCACAATCTCAAACATCTGACACGAAGTGGGACCCATATCAGAGGTTGTAACATTTAACACAACCAATAATAGTTTTTGCCTCCAGTTTCAAAGGTTAAAGGACTAGTTTATTTTTCATCGTACTGTGTGACTAAGACTTCAAACTCATCCTTTCAAAATGATTGTTTTCGTTAAAGCTAGTCGTGGTCCCTCTTCTTAGCTTCACTTGCCTTTATAATGTAGGATGAGAACTTTGTGTTGCGAAAGCCAATGTGAATCTGAGGATCTGAGTTCTCCCAGGATTCTCACCAATTCATGGGCTGGAATACCACTTTTGTTTTGCCATCTTCAATAGAGCATTTTCTGGAGTATGGAGACAGGATTACTTTTATCTACTCCCTAAATGACATGTTTTTGGTAGCCATATAGATGCAGTCGGAATGACACTGAAATTCTATGCTAAAATGTTGAGATATTGTCTGAGTGTTTGTCATGTTGTGTTTTGACTTGTTTGGTATTTCACCAAGTATACAGACAGGAAGGCTGTGTCCTCTAGCATAATATTCAAGACAAGCAACTATAGCCACCTTTCTCTTGATGATCGGCAAAGGGAAGTTGCCAAGTGATCTGTCTCCTATCTAAACATTTGACTTTTTAAAATATATGTTGTCTTAACATGTGTGCCATATTTGTATTCTATTTATGTAAATACATAGTTGTTTTCACCTACTAAAAAGATTATCCCAAATATTCTGATCACATTAGAGCACTAGGATCCTCTAACTCCCCTATACTTTTTATGACTCCCTGGCACATCGGGCCTGCTCACTGTGGTACTAAGATGTTATAGAGCTTGGTTCTAGGTAAAATTATAAGTATACTAATCAACCCCTCTGCTTGAAAATAATAAAAGGAGAGAATGCATATCTCACCATGTTCATAATGACAATTACCAAGAAATTAATGAGATCCCAAATTCTTCTTCCTCATATGGGAAGTCACTCATTAGCATCCACCTGAGTTATAATGCAGGCTCTTATTAGTATTAACAGTTTTACATCATCATTAATATCGCTTAGTATTAGAATCTACAAATCTGTAAATCCTGTTTTTTAAGTTATTTTACCATAACTTGTGAAAGTCCTATAACATGAGAAAAAAAAAAGTAAAAACAGAAACAGACTTGAAACAACTTCTACAATGCCTCACAAGCTTAGAGGAATGGAGAGCCTGGGCATTGCCCAATGCAAGATCATGCAGAATTGTTAAAAAAAAAAAAAAAAGGGAATAAATAGGAAGCCAGTCCAGCACTCCCAGCCTCCTAGTCTTTCTGCTTGAATGGGTTTGCTATCATTAAAGTTCTTTACCATTCAGGTTAGATGGAGTCCTGTGGGATTCACTTGCTGTCATGTGGTTGCCTGGCTAAGCCATACATTTCTATTGGCCCTATTGATTAGGCATCTGCTTCTGCTGTGAGAATGGTTTGCTCTTGTGGAACCGTATTTAGCAGCTGTTACAGTTCAGATGAGTGTTGACAGGATGAAAATTAAATTAACACCCAATAACATTTTAACACCTGGTCCAACAACTGCAATATCATTGAATTTCACCTTTTTGAAATTGCTTTGGGAGTTAATTCATCCTTACTTTGACTTTCACCTGAAGAGACATTCCTGTAATTTCACCACCAAAACTCTCCCCTGATTGTTATTTATAATTTCCATGAAGTCCCCAACCCCCATCCATGTTCAGTGACCGTATGGGCAGTCCTTGAAAAATATTCAGTAACAATATCATTTTATAGGATATACGCTTCCTGATGATAGCTGAAGCGGGGGCATAGACATAACACATTAGCTAGAGAGGAAGAATGACTCACTGTAGCACAATCCAGATGGCCCTGATGGGCAAACAATCATCTTTGCAGGGACAAAAAAAATGATAGAAATACAAGTTTTCCATGTCTCTGACATCCAGGTCCTGATGGGCTTGTGAAGACCATGGAAGGGATGATGTACAAAGCAGCTGACAAACTGAGGGCAGAATGCTTGGTTTAAAAGTTAAACTCTCATGTTCCCCAGGCATCTACAATTATACAAGACACACAAATACTTAAGCCTCGGTTTCCCCGTAAGACCCAGCTAATAAAAGCATCTGTTTCACTGGGCTGTTTGGTGATTATACCATCCATGTAAAAGTCTTAAGGTGACAGTGGTCCACAGAGCCTGGAACTGAGTCCCAGTGAGTCTTCCAGCTTATGATAAATTCACAGTCTTGCCTAGCTGAGACTTCTTAAAGGTCATTTAATCTTGTCCTTAGATTTTATTATCAAGTAGGCTTGAGAAGGTTCTCTGGCGCCTGAAGGATCGTTACACACATAGTCAGTACAGAATGGGGAAATCAGCTGATGTCATTAGAATCTGAAATTTCTTTTTATGACTTCCTATTTCTTAATAGGCTATGTATTTGGACAGGAGTCTGGGTACACTCCAAGTAATTCAGTATTGTAAGTTTATTTCTCTTTCATCTCTGGAAAAGGAATGATGTTATTTGCTATTTTCCAGTACTAATAAGAAGCATAGACAATAGAACTACAATGCTATCATTTGCATTAAGGATCCCATCAGTTGCTAGACAGTGTGTTAAAGATAAATATAGAACATAACCAATTTTCATGAAGGAAATGAAAAACATGTAGCTATATTAAAAAGCAGTCCATTAACCATTGTGAGAAATGGCTACCTATTTTGAAGATTTTCTTGTCCTATTGTCTTCTGTGTTGTTGCTAATTATATTTGTAAGGAAGTAGGAATCAGCAGAAGGGAGAATTGCATTTTTTAATTTGGTCACTTTTGCTCTTATTAACAACTTCTGGCAAATTAGTTATATTTCTAAAGATTAATGTTGTAAACCGTAATGAGATTTGAGGATTAAGTGTAAATTGTATTTATTCATCTATTTTTCCCATTTGGGTTCTTCCTTACACCCAGAGAAATGCAGACTGCAAATTTTCTTTGCTGTCTCCTGGTCCATTACCCAACCCCACTTTTTTTTCTCTTTTCCTGACCATGTAACAGTAATAAGGACAAAATTTGTAAGATGCAATTGGCGCAGAGCATTAATTGTTTTCATGAGTCCTATCTACAAGTTATTTTATTTTTCAAATTTTAAAAGAACAAAACCTAAAGCCAAATTTTCAAAATCTGACATAAGCATTAGTTTTTCAGAAAGAAAACATTTTATAGAACTAGGTCAATTTTCTTGGAATAAAGAATCACAGATGAGTGGGATTTAAGAAAACTATTCTGCTAGTATGACAAAAATTATCTTCTAGGAATGGAAATCCAATTGTGAGGAGCACAGAGTGCTTTTAAAATGCTGTATAATTGCTCAACTGCCTCAGTCTCTTGCATGGTCCTTGTGTCCCCTCAGGCAAAGAGTCTTCATTACTCTAACTTTAGCAAAAGTCTGATTGCCTTGAGAAGAGGATGCATAATAATTTGAATCATATATGCATTAAAGACATAATAATATACCAGGCAACATATTTATAGTTCTGATTCCTCTGTTTTCCAAGTAAGTTTATACCTATCCTAAGACAATTGTGCTACTTACTAAAGGTGCTATGATTAATATAATAAATTTGTTCCTCCTCAAAAGAGCTTGCATCTTTAACATATAGAAAAATTACATGATTCTAATGTTTTCACAAATTTAATAATGTTGTTGTTTTAATCAAATTTCACTGACTAATTATTGATCATTGGAGGGCATTACCAATAATGGTAATATATTCACACCATTCTCTAATTACCATCTTGGTGTTATTTGAAAGAGGAGAGACTCAGAATCTGTATGTTCTTCAGGAGCCTTGGCAGTCAGTGACAGATAGTGGCACTTGGGCCTTGAATGTTCTCATTTGTAAACAATGAGTTGTGGTCATTGGGCAAAGAAATGTTGCTTTCTTATGAGAAACAGAAGCAAGAGAAGAGTAGAAGAGAAATCAGAAAAACTCATCTTACCACTATACACAGTTATCAAGTTACAGTTCATGAAGTCAAAGAACTGGAAAATGTCTATTTCATTCAATTCACACCCATAATTTCTGGTTGAAAACAGAATATCAGAGCAAACAACACTTAAATTAAAAGAAGAGAAACTCATTAGTCTCTGATTATATTTAGAAATATATGAGATTCTGAAGAAATTTCAGTATTTTTAATATTTAGCATGTTCATAAACAATTTATTCAATAGCAAAGAATAAGATAACATAGACAAACAGAACAGGAACAAGGACATAAAACATAATGATGATGTGCTGTAATCTGTAGAACCAAAAACTAGGAATTACTCCTGGGAAATATGAAACATGAGCATTCACCCTGCAGTCAAGGAAATGAGATGGCGACAGTCTAATTGGTAAGTTTACAGCCCATGTTCACAATTGGTAGTCAGGAAAAGATTCCAATTCAAATATTAAAACACCATGTGCCAGGTCAGAATTCATTTACCACACAAGGAAGACATGTGCACCTTACTGTATGGTGTGCCATCAACAATTGAATAGAAGCAGGAATTATTTAACAAAGAGAGTCAGAATTCTAGGTTCTAGGCTATGTGTCAGATCTGGTGAGAAGTCACTTGTTTAATAACCGGCTGGATTACCTATGACCATCACCTGTCACACATGGTTGGTATAATTATATCCAAACCAAAGCAAAATTTGAAAATGTGAGTTCAAATATATAGATTTTGTATTAATGAATATTAGAAAAATAAGTCCATCTATGTATTTGGTAGTGAAATTAAAATAATTTTTACATTTTTAAGTAGCTAATATAGTAACTGCTTTTAGCTAAAATACAGTGATGAAGACCATACTTGAATCTTTCTCTGTGTCTGCTTTTGGCAGTCTGCAAAATAAGAAACAGACTCATAATCTCTCTTTGGACATTGCTCTGCCCAATTTCAAGAGGCATTTTCCATGTTTTCCTGATTTTACTCGTGGGGGTGGGAAGTCTTAATAAGTTATCTAGATTAGCTTTGAATTTGGGACCCATCTGCCTCAGGCTGGGGGATGCTGAGATTATAGAATTGTACCCTCATTCTGCATATATTAATTTTTGGTATATGCCACCAATATCAAAAAGAAAAGCTAGAAAATGAATTAGTTTCATATGGTAACTAGAACATAAATATATCTCAACTCTCTACAATCACCAAAAAAACAAAAGTTGACAAGTCTTGTTGACTGGGTGTTCTGGTTAGAAACACCAAAAATGTAGCCTTGACCTGAAAACTCAGATGCAAGTTTGATATTCAAAGCAATCTTGCCTCTTAATCAAGACACTTTGTTATGTTACTCATCATGTCTATATGCTTATGAAGCATAACTGGTGAAGAAAAAGAAACAGTGAAAGAGTCACTCTTTGGCTGTTGATTTATTCACTGTATCATTACCAATGTTAAGTAAACAAGAAAACAGATTTTCACTTAAACCGGGAGGGAAGATTCCTTAATTTAGAGATTTTGATTTGGAGTTTCATTATCAAACTCGAAAAGGAATGTAGCCACATTTGCTTTCAGAGAGGAGAGGAATCAGATTTAATACACGTATGCAAACATATTCTTTCTAAAATGTAGATACTGAAGGTTAGACTCCTTGCAGTTCGTAAAATTCAAAATGAAGTGAAATTGCCTCTGGAACTAGTTACACACTAGACTGCATTTCAGATAAGCTATAAGAGCATGAAAATAATTCCAGAAAATATATTTATTTGGGTAAATAAATAATAACAAACCATAAAGTTGTCATCTAATGGAAGATTTTAAAAGTATCTTAGTTACTATACTCAAAATATATAAATATTGAAAATATTTCTCATCTAAGAGACTGATTTTTTGTACAGAAGGAATAAATATCACCTTTTAAAAATAATTGTTTTATTGATAGTTAAAAATTTTTGATATAGTTTTCACAGAAAAACATAGCCTGCATTTTATAAATTTCATTTACTTTGGTATTATAAAAGTGTATTAGATAATACTATGGTGGATAATCTACATTGTAGAGAAATGACTTTGTATCATGAGTCAACAGCAGCATTTCACAGTAGCAGAGAGACAATTCCTTCAGTTAGAAAGAATGCTAACAATGGAGTCAGACATTGGTCATGTGTGTTTAGATGGTGACTACCTCACTAAGCTCTGAGATGTATTTAGTTTACTTTCTAATATCGTTCTATCTACAGATCTCCGTGACTTTGTTAAAACAATTAATTTTGGAATTATTTTATTTTGTTTATTTATTTTTTAGATTTAATCAGTTCCTTTTCTTAAGGAAAATAATTGCAAGCTCATTCAAAACCATTTGTAATTGCACTTTCACTGGGTCATGTAAAAAAAAAAAAAAGGAAACTAAACAACCAGCTCATGCACTAAGGACAGGTCCCGGTCCCACTGCCCGGGGGGGCCTCCCAAACAGTTCAAGTTAATCAACTGTCTCACTTATCCAGAGGGCCTGATCCATTTCCATGGGGGCTCCTCTGCTATTGGTTCATAGTTCATGTGTTTCCACTAGTTTGGCTTTTTGTCCCTGTGTTTTTTCCAATCATGGTCTCAACAATTCTCGCTCATACAGTCCCTCCTCTTTCTCCCCAATTGGACTCCGGGAGCTCCACCTGGGGCCTCGCCATAGATCTTTGCATCCACTTCCATCAGTCATTGGATGAGATTTCTAGCAAGACAGTTAGGGTGTTTGGCCATCTGATCGCCAGAGTAGGTCAGTTTGGACTCTCTCTCGACCATTGCCAGTAATTTATTTTGGAGGTATCTTTGTGCATTTCTGGGGACCTCTCTAGCACTTTGCCTCGACTGAATCTGCCAGGCTGAGCTGAATCTCCAGGGGAGTCCTTGCCCTGGAGGAGATGGGAATGGGGGGTGGGCTGGGGGGGGGGTGGGAGGGGGCAGGAGGAGGGAGGACAGGGGAATCTGTGGCTGATATGTAAAATTAAATTATGAAATAAAAAAAAAGAAAAAAACAGGAAACTAAAAGGATATACTGTTTAGAGACTTGTTGGGAAATACCTGTAAGGAACAGAACAGAAGCAAGAAGTGTGGGAAGGAACCTTTAGACAGCAGTATAGTTCTGACCTTTGGAAGGAAAAACCAAGAAAGCTTGTCCAGGAAATCTCAGGCAGAAGGATATGCATTTCTAAACTAAAATTTTTTAGTAGAGAAGTTCTGTGTCCCAACAGAATGCACAGCTCTGTAGCTGGTCATTGACCAGTGGCTGAGAGGATCATGGGAAGTATTGCTTATAGGTATGGTGGTTAACTCAGAGGCACAACAGGTGGATGTGACTATACTTTCCCCAGCAGGAAATCTCATAGTGCCTTTCCATGAGTTGAACAGCAAAGAACAACTCAGAATTTTACCTTAGGCTAAGAAGACTACAATGTTCCAGTGTGACAATAATCTGTATGTTGATTTACCTTCAGTTGTAGATAAAGTTTCAGTCCTACAGCAGTCACCACAGAGCTCAAATGGACACTATTGCTTTCTGCAGAACACTGTACTTGAATAAATACTTCAATTACTTACACCAATAAAAGCCAATAGAACTTAGTTCTCAATTTATAAGCTCATCTTTCTACCTTTCTCTTGATCAATGAAATATATCTTACAATGTTTTTTTCAATAAATACAACATACTTCTTCAGAATACATATACTCAATAATTTCTTTCTATTGCCTCTCAAGAGACATCAACTTGATTGTCAATAGGTAAAGGGGTTGTAGCTTAATTAAGGATGGTGCCCACAAAGTGAGACGTGTTTGTCTCCTTTTGTGGCATCGTTAATGCATATGGTGGAGCTCAGCAGCTGACAAACGTGAGGGAAACTAGGGCTTGGGAGTGGGAAGATCCAGGGCCATTTAACTAAAGCTGACAAGATGAAATGAACTGTCTAGAAATTATGGTAGCTAACTTAACTTGCTTTCCCTACTTTTTATTGTCTTATTCAGAGGTGAGAAGGCTGACAGCCATGCTACTTATGTGCTTCTTGAGGCAATTTCTACAACTGGGAACAATGGTGACTAGCAGGCCAGCTCTGACAGCAAATGCTTTTGCCTTGAACAAGCTAGAAATGTTGCTGTCTTGTCACCAGTCATTGGGGTGCATGGCAGTGCTGATAGCATTTTTTTCCGTCTTTATTGAAAATACGATGGTGTAATTTTGCATAAAAGAATAGCCAGTGGCAACTTGCTCAAAGTGCTTTTGTGAGCCCCTCGTTCCCCATGGAAATTCTTTCTGTGTGCTTTCAGTTTTCTGAGAAAAAGCCAGATGCAATGATCACAATACAGAACTGTATTGTATACTGTGCAACAGGGAAGCCAAGAGCCTGAAATTACAGGGAAGGGGCTGTGGGGGCAGCACTTGTGTCAAGATGGAGGAGGGCTTCTACAGAGGAACCACTGCACTCGCACTATCTATCAAAGGCCAGGGATCTTCCAAAGAAAGGCAGCTTAGGGAGTCACTCAGGTAGAAATACCTGCTGTGAAAAGGTGGTGTTTCTGGCTTCGCTGAATGTTTCTGATGCAGTTAGGGAGAGAAGGTTTTTCCAAAGCACACATCCTAGTGTTTCATAATAACATGTCCTTAGACTGTTTGTGTAGCACACTAGATTCTTCAGTTAATACCTTCAATAAATCTGTTATGAAAAACATTAATACTTCTGGTAGTTAGATAAGGAACCTGGGGATCAAAGAGATTTTCATACCAGCAAGTGATGGAATTTCTACAAAACTTTGTTTTTACTCTCAGTTAATTTTCTGTAATATAACATTTTCTTTTCACCATGACCCTGCCCATAGAAGAGTAAAGGCTTACACAAACAAAATTCAGCCAATAGATATGCAAAATACTTAGAAGAAGTCGTAATCAATAAATCTGCAAAAAACTTTCATATCTCACAAATAAACAACAAAAGAATAAACTTATTTTCCCCTTTCAGTGTGATAACTTTCAACAATAGACCTAACAAGAGCCACATTTTCTTCTGCTGAAAAGTCTATAATGAGTTTTTCTTTTTGTAGACTGGGGGCACTGTGTCTCCTACTATGTAGGGATATTGTTATTACCCACATATTCCTGCTCTTGGAGATCATACCTCTCAAGTCCATAATCATGGAGTTGAGTAGATTCATAGTTACTAAACTTTTAGATTACTGTGTATCATGTAAGGTTACTATGTGGAATTTTAGTATCAGATGGTAATGTGCAGAGCACAAAGGCAATGTGATTTATGAGATACATCTGCATGAACTGAATATATTTCAAAGTAAGCTATAGTAGAGAGGCAAAAGTCACAGAGCCATGCCATCTATCTTACACAGCCTGTCTAGCATGGATGGCCAAAACTTATTGCAAGTTGAAAAATGCATCCAGAAATAACTCTATATATTAGAATATTTTAAAGATCATTTTGGTTCTTCCATTTCTATCCCCAGGCACATAAAGAGTTGTGCATTCGAATGCAGACATGGCCAAGTCCAAGAAACACATCTTAAACAATTAGTCCCCCAAAGTACTGAAATGACATTTAGAAACTCAATTTACACAACTGAGATTTAAGACAATAATAATAATAATAATAATAATAATAATAATAATAATAATATAAATGTTTTTTAAAAAAAACAGCTACAACAGTGTGAACTCTTAAATAGATAGACCCAACTTTCCAAGGAACATGTATTTTGCCAGGAAGTAGATTGTCCACCTCATCTCAAGGAGTTTATTGTATCCACATTGCCCCAGGTCACAGACTCAGTCCACAAAATCTAAGGCAGTGGTTTTCAACCTTCCTAATGCTACAATCCTTTAATACAGATCCATATGTTGTGGTATGAGTAGTGTTTGGTCATTTGGTGAGTTATGGATGTTTGTTATCATTTAGGAAAATATAGGGATATAGGATAAAAAGTCAACTATTAATCTCAGACATTTTACATTGGCATGGATTTTGGTACATTGATACAAACTTAGTTATTTTTGTTATACTACATATATGTTTCTAAACTTGTTTGGGGTATTGTGCTTATGCAGCTCATTTAAAATGCAATATATAATTGAAAAATTAGATTAGTAATTAATCTATAATAACCAAACATGTAGTCACATTTGGTATGTTTCAAAGTTAAATAGGCATATTTAGACAGATAGATGATTTTCAAACATTTCAAAGACCTACACAGAATATTGCATTTAAGATGTTTAATAACCTATGTTTTTTTTTATGAAAATTAGACAGATCTGCTCCTGGAAGCACTAATTTACTTCAGAGAAGATCATGGGCATTCAAGAAACTCTTTATGGAGTTTGTTTTCATTGTGGTAAGGTTAGCTTCTGGACAAAGAAACTGCTCTTAATTGACTGCCAACAATATACTGTATAACCTGGACATGTAGGACACACCATAAAAAGACAGCTGAACTTTTCCAAAACAAGGCAGGACATTTCTTCAAAATTCCTTCTTCACAGAAGAGTCTACTAGATATTCTGCAGGACACAGAGAAAGGCAACGGATGAACTTTGTCAATACACAGTGGGATAGTCCTTCAAAGTTCCTGCTTCACTGAAAAGTCTGTCTTCGTATTCTAGGCCTGTAGGCTAAAGCTAGATGCCCCAATATTACAGAGACTGTCCAGGCAGCCAGATACCTCTATAATTGGGTAGTATTACATCTTCCTTGGGTATTTGATAGAGTTTAAAACTAAATAATTAAAGTTATAGTTTTCATTAGTTATAATGGAAAGTAAATTAGGTATAAAGTACTGAAATCATAAGGATAAGATAGATAATGGAGTATTTTCTCTGAATTTGTTGAATGCAAATGGACTGAATATTGTAAATGTAATTCTTATTTGATAACTGTATTTGTTGAATGTAGTTTTGCTATGTTAAGGTTAAAACCTTTCATGTTTACTTAGACAAAAAGGGAGAAATGTTATGGAATATTAGTTGAAGGTGCATTGCATTCATTTATGCTGTGGAAAATTTGTTTAATGATACAAAGATGTGTTGCATTCTTTTATGCTGCATATGTTTAACTCTGTGAAGCTGTGTTACTTTGTTTGTCTAAAATAGCTGATTGGTCTAATGAAGAGCTTACCAGCCAGTACATAGGCAGGAGAGGAATAGGTGGGGCTTCAGGCAGAGAAAATAAATAGAAGGGGCAAAAGAGAAAAGGGAAAGAGAGAAAAGGAGAGGAGGATGCCAAAACCCAGCCACTCAGCCACACAACCACACAGCCAAACACTGAGTAGGAAGGAAAGAAAATATACACAAAAGTGGAGCAAAGTAAAAGTCCAGAGGCAAAAGGTAGATGGGATAATTTAAGAAAAGCTGGCTAGAAACAAGTCAAGCTAAGGACAGGCATTTATAAGTAAGAATAAGTCTCTCTCTCTCTCTCTCTCTCTCTATATATATATATATATATATATATATATATATATATATATATATATATATATATATGGTGGGTGTCGGGCTCCCAAAGAGCAAAGAATAAAAAAAATCAACTGCACTCATCCTAAGAGACTATGACTTGTGATAAATCCATCATGCCTATGCAAAGGCAAATAAAACAGAAAATCTTCCTAGATTAATGCTAGCAGACATTGTCATCAACTATTAATTACATTGAACTACATCATCTGATATTTTTCTAATGTACAATATTGGGTAGAGATGATCTAGACTTCTTATGTTCCTGCCAGCAAATGTAGTGATGGGTTGCAGGATGATATGAGGTCTAGAAACAAGCCCTACTATAAGAATACCAAAGTCTAATCGGACAATAAGTTGTATGCTAACAAGTATCTGACCAGAAAAGCAAATAAGCCCTAAGAAATAAATAGAAACTATTTAAAATTTGGATTAAATGTGTTTTGTTAAGGACTCAGAAATGACTCTGTAGATGTAAAAACATATGAACATGACCCAGAAGGAAGAATAAGATTTAGTCATTCTAATAGTAACTTTAGGTGCAGATTTGAATATATAAGAACCTTGATACACTATCAGTAGACATGTAAAGAATTCCAGCAGCTTTGAAAAATAAGTAATTCTTTAATCACTTGAAACTAGAATCTTAAATTTGCCATCAATTACACTCCTAGCTGTATAAACGTTTTTTTTTAAATTTTTCTTTATTAAGAAATGTTTTACTCACTCCTCATGCTATCCACAGATCCCCCTCCTCGCTCCTCCCAACGCCCAGTCCTCTTTCCCAAGCCACCATGCATCCCCACATCCCCCAAATCGAGGTCTCCTATGGGGAGTCAGGAGAGCCCAGCTCACTGAGCCTAGGCAGGTCCAAGCCCCTTCCCACTGCACCAAGGCTGTGCAAGGCTTCACACCACAGGCACTGGATTCCCAGAAGCCTGCCCATGCACCAGTGACAGATCCCGATCCCCCTGCCTGGGTGCCCCCAGAATAGTTTGAGCCAAACCTTCCATGTCCAGAGGGCCTAGTCCAGTCCCATGGGGGCTCCACAGCCATCAGTCCATAGTTCATGGGTTTCCACTAGTGTGGCCAGTCATCTCTTCATGTCCTCCCATCATGATCTTGACATCCCTCGCCTGCAGTATCTCGCCTCTCTCATCAATTGGATTCCCAGAACTCACCCTGATGCTTGGCTGTGGATCTCTGTATCTGCCTCCATCTGTCCCTGGACAAAGGCTCTATGATGACAGCTAGGTTATTTGTTAGGCTGGTCACCAGAGTAGACGGGTCCAGGTACTCTCTGAACCACTGCCCTAGCTGTATAAACTTTAACCATGAAAATATTGTGCTAAGTGAATGAAGCTTTACTTAAAAGTACACATGCCATGTAGCAACACTTATAGTAAAGTCCACAGTAGAAAACTTTACAGAATGTGGTGACTTAATGAGGTGAGTATGGCAAGGTTAGAGAGATGTGAGACATCTTCAGGGTTCTGGACTAGAGTCTTCATGGATGCAAGCTCACAAGGAAGATTTAGTAATTATTTTTGTATTGCTCACTTGTTAATAACTGCCATAAAATACTGTTTAAATCAAGGAAACTTCATTTACTGGAACATTATACACATTTTCCATAAATAATTTTCTTTCTCTATAAAAAATTATTCTTGTTATTTCATTAAAAACTAACCAAACTTAAAGTCAAGCAAAATAGTCTCTTAAAAAATTTTGTCTCTTTAAATTGTGTTTATTATTATTGTATTTACTTAGATTTGCAATTGTATGCTCTGGTCATCAGTTTTCCATTGCTGTGGATAAATTTGCCACACATAGAGTAGCTGAGGACAGCCTCTTCATAAAATTATGGAGGAAGAAGACATGAGTGTTGTACACATGCAAGGTATTAGCAGGCTGGGCTCTTCCCTGAAGACTGTCAGGAAGAATCTACCGATATGTTCACTTGGGCTGTCCACAGAATTCCCTCTTTTGGATCTATTTCTTTGGTGGCTGCTAAACAGAAGTGACTCTCAGCTTCAAAATGATGCATGAACACTTTCATTTTTGTATTTACTTATTTATTATTTTAAAAAAGTTTTTTTTCTTCGTGTGTGTGTGTGTGTGTGTGTGTGTGTGTGTGTGTGTGTGTGTGTGTGTGTGTAAATGGATGTGTACATGTGTGGGCATACATTTGAACCCTGGATCTGGAGTTACAGGTGGCTGTCAGAAACCTAGTGTTGCTGGGAACCAAACTCGGGTTCTCTGTAAGAGCAAGGAGCTCTCTTACTCTGTGAAGCTTCTCAACATCCCCACACTTATTTGCTCTTATGTCTATTAACTACTAAATTAAAAACAAATAAAAAATGGACATACTGATGAGGTAACATGTACTTTATAAAATTTTTAAGTTTGATTCAGTATACCTCTGCAAAAATTTATCATTTTTTATACTGAGTCCTACTTTATTATTATCTATAGTCAATGTTCTATGTGGTAGTACAACAAAATATCTTGAACTTATCTTTGATAACTACAATTCTACTCTCAAATTCTTTTAAACCAACTGGCTTTAGATTTCAAATGTGTCTAAAATTGGCACTTATCCACTTGTTTTGTTTCAATTAGTGTGAGTATCTCTAGCTCCATATGTATTATTGAAAATGATAAGTTTTCATTCTCTAGGTGGCTGAGTAGTATAGGTTCAAAGTACAGGAAATATGTCTGTGGAAGAGGTATCTGTCCTCCCATGTTCACAGGGTCACTAACAATATAAGTCAAGAAATAGATGCAATCTGAATGTCCATCAGTCGACCGATGGAAAGCAAACATGGTACATAGGATGCTATGGTAAGTAGCTCATTTATAAGCACTATTTAAAGTATAACACATGAAAGCCAAAAGAGATGTTTGGTAAGATGAAGTAGATAAACAGGAGGAGTGGAGAACAAGAAAGAATAATGGGGAATCTGATCAAAGTATATGATACACATGTTTGAAAATGAAATAATAAAACCCATTACTTTGTACAAGACATATGGGTTAATAATAAAAAATAATCAGTAGATTCATTTATTGGAGAATATTTCTCCATGCTCAATGAGTTTATGAGCATTATGATTATGTAAGAAATGAACACTTGGTGTTGGCTTATTCCAATCATATCTCAAAGGAGATCATATTGATTTAATATATCATAACCAGCATTGGCCATAGAAAGTTCAATTGAATGGAATAATCAGATTTAATCACAGGAGACTTGTTCTATAAGTGCATTATATTTGTTGTAAATGTATGTATTGCTTGTGATATGTTTGGTAGTATTCTATCTTTTTTTTTTTTAACCAGGATCAACACATCTTGTCTTAACAATGACAAGGGACAAAGGGACAGGCACAGGGAACTTGGCAGAACATGACTGCCAGTGAGTGGTAGAGGCAGACTGAGAGCCTATGCACCCAGGTCAGTGCTCTTACTCATTTTACTGGTGCTTTTTGTTGTTGTTGCGGCTGATTTTCATTGGTATGTATGTCAAATGTATGTGATAAAAAGGCTCATAGGAGTAGTCTTTCCAGATGAAGCTCTCAGTAAAGTTCTTTTCTAAGCCACCTGCAGTTCATCGGGTAACTCACACGGAACTACTTGGGAGATGCTCTACTTATTTGTAGATGGTACCAACAAGATGGAACTTACCTAGACAGTTATTTCCTAAAGCAATTCTAGTCCATTAAAAAAACAGTCTGGGACTTTTAGATTCAAAATATTTTAAATCCACTTAAACAGTTCTGTGATCTTAATGCTGCACACAGAGAACTCAGATTAAGATGACCTTTAATGATTATTTAGGTTTAAAGCAGACCAGGAATTCACTGAGGCAAAGAAATTTCACTCCCCAGATTCAATTATACTCATGGAAGCAGGAGTAAATGGTATTAAGTATATACCATAAAATGTATGGTAGCATGTAGAAGCAATAAGCCAAATTATTTCCATTGACATAAAATGGAATTAAAAAACATACTGTTGGGCTAAAAATAAAATAAGAAATGATTAAAGTCTATGGCACAGTACCATTTAGGCAAAGAGAAGGGAAATATATACATGAGGGAAAAATTAATTAAA